ATTGGACCCGGTGATTGTTAGCAATACTTTGTAACCATTGGACCAACGCATAAAGCACGTTAAACTCCTATACGTAATTAATTCAGAACATTACGCTAATTTTAACATAGGTAAGGGATGATAATCAAGCAAAATTTCAGCACATACTTTATTGTTAATCACCCCTAAATCTCAGCAAATGTTTATTTTAAACTCTACCTCATAACTCAGCCGAATGTCAAACAACAAGTGTCTAACTTAGTTAGCACGGCCTCGACACGGGATAATCATGCTATACTTTGTCTTAGATATGACGATAAGTTTGACAATATGTAATAAGGATGGGGTAGCATGTAATCCTTTAATACTGTAATGCCTTAGTAATAGTAATATATACAGTAAGTCTAATCGTGAAGCAATGGAGTCACGACGAGTCGGTTGCGTATATATGAGTAAATTCTTTATACTTTTAAACAAAATATCGGGCCGTAGTTAAAATAATGTTCAAATAAGTTTAACTAATATATATCGCGTTTTAAACAGTTAAAGTGTTTTATTTAAATATGTTCTACTCGCGTAAACTATAGACAGTATTTAATCTAGTTTATTTTAAAATATAAAAGTTAAACACATTTTAAACCCATATATTAAAGTTAACCGGTTTAAGTCTAACGGATTTATGAAATAGAAAATTGTCTATTAGCGCTGGGACACTTGGCACATACATAAAATTACCAAGATGACAGATTTGTAGGGAAATTCAGTTGGATTTTTCTATACTAGAGAATTTTACAATTCTGGGTTTCAGTCCAGTTGATATATAATAAATTTAATAATAATAAAGAAACAATAAATTTGTACAAAATTATCAGCTTGGTATTGACAGATTCTGGGTTCAATTCTTGGAGATATACAAATCCAATAATAAAACCGATAGAATGTGTCTTCTCCGTGCCTAATGGCTAAAATTCATTTATATGAAGTTAAATGTTGAGGTTGGGACTCATAATATTTTGGGCAATATTACAAGTGTTGCCACCCAAAAACTGAGGCACCGACGACATATTGCAGGCCATTGGCTATAATTTATAACCTCACTAACTGTGAGGGGGTTGCCAGTCGCAAAAAGTCGACAAATCGCCTCTCGAGGCGTGGAAAGAGCGATTTTTCTTGAGGATTGCGATGGCACTGTTTCATGAACAAATATAGGAGAATTTCTGAAATATATTGCATTCAGACTGTACATTATTCATGCTAGGTCTAGACAGAGATATATATTAACTCATGCGTTCGCCGTCGCAAGAGTCGTCTATTTTTATTCTGGAGTCAATAAGGTGTTACCATGAGTATCGAATATTTGAAACAACAAAATCATGATATTGTCCTTGAACACACATGCAGTTGCATGCATTGCAGTGAAAATACTATTAACAGTTTATAAAACGCATGTAGCACGGGCTGCGAAGCATACGTAACATAACGAGACGATATTAAAAAAGTTAAATAAATCAGAAATTTAGTTCTAAGTTCAAATTATTTAAACCTCGCTCGTTTAACCATAGAGTTTTTGAGCGTATGTATTTAAAAAACAAACAGTGATGTAGATCCATGTATAAGTATTAATTAACTGAAAGTAAAAATAACTGATATATAAGATTTTTATTTTATTTTTCATTTATAACGTCGTCGAGCTTGGAAACTTTTCCGCGATTTATGTATGCCACTGGTATTAACAACCGATAACGTAAATATAGTATCTAATTAATTTAAAACTGTTTTTTATGAAGAAAGTCGAAAATATGTAGAATAAAATTTTGAGTTTTTAGCCAATTTCACGCAGGTTATTTTCCACGAAAAATATTCAGCCCGTGTAAAAAGTTCATAAAAATATAACGAGAAATGATGGATTCCTAGTAAATAATATAATCTAGCTCAATTCAGCCAACGACGGCATAGTCGTAAAGAAGTGTTGACGCGAGGGATCCTACTGGAATCATTTTTATTGTCTCCATTTTTTTCCTGAACAGGGCCGAACTCACGCAATAGTTTTATACTATTATAGAGTAATAAGGCCTGAAAATGGGTTTTGCTAATCGTACAAATACTTAGTTTTGTGTCCGTATGTTTGACGATAGACAATGCTTAAGCATAGTCTACAGTTACCGCCAGTATTGTCTTAAATAAATCACCGTTAACGATTTAAAACGACAGTTTTTCGAGTATTAAACCGTTTCAATCGTTACATTTTTATTATAGTTAGATTAAAAAAGCTTAGACGCCATGATAAAAAAAAACAAATGATATATATAAATTAACATTTAAAGGAATTTTTTTCTAGGGTTTTATAGATAACGATTTGATACCCTTTCGTCTACAAGTTAGACTCGGACTTGGCTGTTTTTTTATTTATTTACAAAACAGAACTGACACAGAATTTCTCTAATATGTTTTCTTTGCTCAGCATGTTTATCCGCAATTATCAACATGCTTTCCTTCATTATGGAATATGATTCACAAGTAATTTTAAGTACATACCTGTAATGCTTCCATTTTATTCGTCTAGACTTCTGAAAATAGTTACTTACATAGGTTCAAAGGAAAATCTGGCAACGGATAAAATATTTTTCGGTTAGTGACGATAGCGTATTAAATGCAATGGTGAAAAATGTTACTAAATAAGACGAACCTTAATTATAAAGAACTCTCAACACTATCTTAAATTAATAATAATATAAGAGACTGCAAAAATTAGTGTCCATATTTTACGCGAGACCTTTACACATAAAATTAAACACTTTTAACGGTTTAAAATCCGAAGTCTCAGCTGTTGCAAAACAACGAACGACTGATAGTTAATAATTAATCTATACTAATACTTTAAGCTGAAGAGTTTGTTTGGTTTGTTTGTTTGAACGCACTAGTCTCGGAAACTACTGGGTCGAATTGAGAAACTATTTTTGGGTTGGTTAGAGCATTTATCGAGCAAGACTGTAGACGAAAAAAGATTGCGGTGCGACTAATAGGCGCAAGGAAACAGCGGGAAATGTGAAAAAACGGGGAAAATTATTCAACTGTGGGTTTCCGACGCGTACGCTGCACAAATAGTTGAAGATACCAAAAAATATGTATAAAAAACTATTTCTCTTTAAACGATATAAATATTATCCGAAGCAGTATATGTTTATTTTTTAAGATTACCTTGCAAGAACGACGGGATGCGACCTACGTCGTGGGCAACAGTAAAAGTTTGCAAAAACAAATTTGGATGCTCAAAATAATTATTTAAATAAAACACTTTAACGGTTTAAAACGCGATATATTAGTTAAACTAATATATTGCGTTTTAAACCGTTAAAGTGTTTTATTTAAATGTGTACTACTCGCGTAAACTATAGACAGTATTCAAAATGACTATTCTACGCGGACGAAATCGCCGACACAGCTATTTAACTTATAAATAACCAAGCATTCAAAACAGTTTAAAGTGTTTCATCCATCAAACCGTTTCTTATGATAGTTTCTATTACTGCGAATTCGAAAATGCTTCGAAATTCGAAAATCGTTCCACACCTGTCATAACGTTAAACTTGTCGTAATATATGGATTCCCGAACATTTTAATATAACAAAATAAATCATACCGCCCGTAGAATCCATTCAGCTGACCTGAATGATGGTAAAAAATAAATAAAAATGGTTAACGGATAGAGTATCGTTTTTCTGCTGTCACTATCTTCCGGCAACAATGCTGGTGATTTATATCCCAACAGTGTTTTATTATCATAGTTTCTAACATTAATATTCCCTAATGTATAAATATTTATATACAATCTGTCTATTGCATTTATGAAATATGGCAATATATTTAATATTTATCCTTAGCATACGAATTTGTCTGTCCTTGTCATACTCTCTCTGTATTTGAGCATGTAATCAACTAGTTTTTGGCCTATAGAATTCCGAATATCTAAAGCCAAAACTGGTCGACAGCGCACTTTGTTGAGACGTTATATGGGCTGGGGTATATTATCTTCAATCAAGTTAATATAACTGCCTTACAAAAAAAACTGTGCATATAGATTTTGGTTCAGAACTTGAACATGTTTTTCGGTGTAAAATATTTTTTTAACTTTAAAAGACTTGATGTTAGTTGTAATACTCCAGCCATATAATATATAAACAAGATGCGCTGTCTACCTATATTCGGATATTCGGAAACCCACAGACTGAAACCGAAACACGATTTATTTAAACTCGACGGCTGTGGACGGTTATTTGTAACCCGGACGGAATTTCGATATTCTTACCACTCATTTAATATCCAGATTTCCAAACGAAAACGATTAGACAAATGATGTTGATTATCAACCATACATAGTTATCATTACATCATTACAAATAAAAGCAGAGTAGCGAAAAATATGAGAAAACTCATAATTTTCCACGTGTCAAGTTATATACTTTTTACGAAAATAACTTTGAAATTTTCATTAATTCCGTCGCAAACAATAGAGAAAGTTGTCCTTGTTAGTTGCGAGTTAAATTTTTATCACTTCATTATGAAGTCTCAGCTTTAAATTTTGCCGCGCAATATTAATTAGTTCCACATTTTGATATTAATAAAAGTTGAATTACCTTCGTACTTTTACTGGTTAGTTTTTGTATAGTAGTTCAATAAAATAGAATAGGAATAGAATTTAATCAAAATAGAATATTGTAATTTTAAATTATGTTTTTGTAACAAACATGTAAAAATAATTATTGTCTGTTTACAATATTTTTTGTTTTTTTTTTTTGCATAGCCTTAAACAATGTAATTAAATTCTTTAGACCTTCTTCTTTAGACTTTTCAGTTTATTAATGTTTGATTTATACTTTATATCAGTTTCATTCTTTAATTCTTACAATTTAGTAATTATGTGTATAAAACATACATAGATGTGTTTCAGTTAAACGCATTGTGGTATCTCGGTTTATTATAGGTTTAGGTATATAGGACCTTAATTCTAAAAACTAAAAAAAATGCTAAGTAAGTATGCCAAGTTCTCAAATACAGTGTACTGCCATATTAATTTCTTATTTATAAAATTTAACTAGGTAAACAAAGAGCTTGTTCCAAATTCAAAATTTAAAACACAAATTTTCGAATTTGGAACGATTTTAACGATATCAGTGAAACACATTACTTATTCCATTTTTAAAATTTGCACTTTACATTTTCTTTCGTAATCGTACAATATTTTTCATAAGATCTAGATCTAGCCTTACTCAATAGACTCCATAAATATTATATCAAATCGTATTTATACAGTTTATAAGCGTGGCGATGACGTTTCGAAAATATCGGTGAATTTGGTAAATATCACATTTGAGAATTCACTTTGAAATGACGTGAAATATTCCGGCTCCACTGCCGAAGCATTTACGCAGAATTCCCAATGAATTTTTATTTATTGCTTTCGAATGAAACACGAAAGAGTTGTTGATGTGTAATCAAATCAACTCGCTAGGTAGGTATTTGTTGAAAAAGTGTGTGTAACTTGTTTTTTATGTCCTGTCTGAAATGTGTGTCGTACTGAAATTGGAAATGAATTAACTTGAACGAAAAACATGCGTAACATAAGCGTACTTTTTAACTTATTTTAATTTTCACATGTTTATTACTAGTACGTTTGGCTGAATGATATTTCTTGTCTAGTTTATTTAAAAGTTTTTTTTATATTTATATTTTAACAAGGTGAAATGTGTTCCGACATAGAAAACATTATGTGTAAGATACTTTAATATAATTGGAGAGCAAATTGTGCTATCGCTTAAGAATTATATCCTCCAGACAGTCCAAAATTAAAAAAAACTATCCAAAGCCAAAGTGGCTGGGGTATTTTACCTTTTATCATTTGAACCCCAATGTTGTCTGTTTTCTTCTATGATATAAAAAAAAAACTTTTGACGGGTTAAATTGTGTTGAGAATTAATTAAATAATATAGTTAGAAATTTAAATAATTATTTTTTAATTATTGTAATTTACTCGTGTAAACTACAGATATCACTGTAAGTGTATAGCAAGCTCTTACATAGCTTAAGCTTCATAATAAGCCACCATTGAATGTATTAAATCACCCCAAGAACTTGGGCCATAACCGCTCAGCGGTTTGTGCCAAAAAGTTGTGAAATTAGCCACCGATTTATGGGTAAGATGCTAATGTCCCGGATAATATTCCGGCCGTTTTGCGGAATAACTGATTTACATGTTTTCCTGCGACACGAGTTAATACGTTCGATGGTGAAAGTTTTGTGATGTTTCGAAGTTGTTGCGCAACAAGCCCCGCCTCGGGGTTATGAGGCTTGTTTTCTTCCTTCGTTAAATCTTTGAAAAATAAGCAATGGCTCGTTCAAAATATCAAGGTGAAGACGTGCTTTTCAAATGTTTTTAACATACATATGGCACATATACTAAGTACATATATAATGAAAAGCGTGAGAGTGTAGAGAAATTTTACTTAGTGTCAGTGAGGCGGAACCCGGATGCCTAATTTTACGAGTAATAAAGCGATCGTGAAACAGTCGGAAATGTATATAATGTACCCCATGTCCAACGTAGGAAATTTCGCACACTCAATAAATTAAAACGTAGAAAAAAAAAACAAGCAAAATACTTAAATTAAGTGTTTTTTCATGACAGAGAAGGACAAAGAACCTTAGCCATAACTTCTGAACAAGACGAGCTGTCAACCTATTTTTGACTTTAAATATTCGAAAAACCACAGACTGAAATCGATACGCGAATAAACTTGACCGTTTTTTCATCTGTGAACTGTCGTTAGCAACCCGGACGGAATTTTGATATTCCTATCGCTAATTTAACATCCAGATTTTCAGACAAAGTTCGTTACAAAAATATTATAAATTGATTACAAACGTGGTGGACCAAGTGAGGATCGAACTGACCCATACATTATTAACCATACATCGCTACGAGACGTCAACGAGCCACTAACTGTAACAATCATCAACATACATATTTATCTATTTATACATGCCTATATTACTATATGTTTTTTCTAAAGATGGTTTAGTTGACCATCGACTTAACATTTAATAAAATATAAATAACCAGGAAATTCTCTTCTAAAATCACCTATTAATATTTGCATATATATATAAACCCGACACATTGGACGAAATGAAAAAGTCCCGAAAACTTTATCCTAAAGGTTACATTGTAAAAGTTCCCGTAACAGCGGATCCGTGTTGACTAACTTCATCAAAAACTACTTTTTCATAGACTGTGCTTTCAAATTCGGGAGCTACCTAGGGGACAAATCTACTCTATTTGTAAAAAACTGTCCCAAAAAATTGCACTGTGAAAGAGCTTTATTTGAAAATAATAATTCCTGTCAATGTTAACTTCTTTTTATATTACAAAAGAGTCAATTTCCAACCAAATTATTAACTTAGATATAATAAGGTTTTTAATGTGAGAAATAGAAGTCGAACAGTTTTAAAAAACCATTTAAAATAATATAATAAATTGAAAATTCTGATGATACGAACGGGACTTAAACCGGCAACCACAGCGATAGGTGCTGTTGCTCTGAGCAATACCATGTCATGCAATGCCAGTAAAAAAAAACTGTATACTAAAGAATCGAAGTCCACTTATAATTGATAAACAATATTAAGTATTGTGTGTAGTTTCCGCGAGTAGTAATCATTTAAATTTCAAATACAATAACTAGTCGGATCGTAGTTAAAACAAATTAACTAATTAATAAATTAATTAATATATTTCGCGGTTTTAAACCGTCAAGAGTATTTTTTTTTAATTAGGAGGAATTTTGGTTCAAATTCTTACAGCTTGTACCAAATCTGTATAATAAAAAAGTAGAAAATCTATTTAACTCTTGGTAGTGTAAAAGCTTTCTACTGCGTCTGGTTTGACCGATTACATTTTATTTATTGTTAATGCGGAAAGACTGTGTGAAGAGGTGCTCAAACTTTAAAACCATCAATTTTCCCCTTAAAAAGAAGTCCCGAAGTGGAGACACAAATGACTCGAACTTCTAAATTGGCGTGAGCGGGAAACTCGAAAGAATTCACGCACCAAATAGTTTTATTGGTCAAATTTAAACAGCGACACATCAAATGGACGCTTCCATTAATTCAAAGTTGAACCTCTTAAAACTATGGCAATAAAAAAGAAATATTTCTTAAAAGTTTGGTAATAAATGCCCGACTTGGTAATTGAGCGTTTTGCTGTTCCGTCCGATCTTGGGCTTACCTCGTCGGCTTAGTGGCAAGCACTAGACTTCAGTTCATCAGGTCCCATTTCGGTAATAAGAAGTGTTTAAACACCTTTTTAGGCCTCAGTTACTAAATAGCATATATATAAATAAATATTACTGTTATGATTGTTTAATAAATCCTCAGAATACTTATTACAGAACAAATATTGTAAATACAAATTATAGCAAGGTAATTTCTCGAAACATCTTTAGTACGTTAATTTGGAAGCTTTTGATGTCCTGCTGCTGACAATTAGTTAACGAATTAATTAATTTTCCTAGTAATATTTTAATTAAAGTTAATTTAGTGCGTCAAAGTTATAATTGGATATCTCTCTATTTTTACGGTAATATAATATACGAAAAAATTTAGAAATAAATATTTAATCGGGCGTAAATATTTCTTTGATTGATTTTATATTTTTTTTGATTTTATACAGACCAGTTGTTTGGTAGACTTCTGTGCTCTGCCCGACCGAAACATTGTATCTTCTCACCAGTAATCGAAGCTAGGGCATCTGGTGTTTAATAAAATGCTAAATGCGGGTAACTGCGAATAGTTTAATATACTAATAGTATAGACAAAAATGCAATCTAAACTCTATGTTACGTGTTAACATGTAACAACTTTGTTTCGTCAAAAATTGCAAATCTAATTTAAATTGTAATACAAGTATACACCTCAAAACATTATTATACTAGTTTTATAAGGTTTATTTTCATACTGTCCACAGTTTACGCGAGCCGTAAACATTTAAATAAAACACTTCAACTGTTTAAAACGCGATATATTAGTTAACTAATTTGAAAATTATTTTTAACTTTGTCCCGACGTTTCGGATGCTTTGCAGCAGCCGTGGTCACGGGGAGACTAAAGATGGAGGATGTCTCTGACGTCAAAGTAAAAAATTGCTACGCTAGTGTCATCTGTTCCGTCGAAGTTGGTATTTAGCGAAACTGGCTGGGTCCTTACAGAATTGACTAACGATGTCTTCGCGTTTGCCGGAATGCGTTTTATTGGGATCCAGATATATCGCGAATTAAACCGTTAAAGTATTTTATTTAAAAGGTTTATTTTCTCCTAATACCAACTACCGTGAAACAGATGGCGCTAGCGTAGCAGAATTGACTCTAGCACTCTCCATTTTTAGTCCGGGACCACGGCTGCTGCAAAGAATCCGAAACGTCGGGCCGTGGTTAAAATTGAAAATAAACTAACTGTCATGTCTCGCGTTTCAAACCGTTAAAAGAGTTTCATTTAAATATGTACTACTTGCTACTACTATTAATCATAACTCTATTATGTAAAAGAACCAGTTAGAGTTCAGAGCACCCTGTATCCGTAATACTTTTAAATTGAAAATGTTTTTAACACAGTATAAGGTTGTTTAGTATAGCGCGGAATCGTGTCGTCACAAGCGGACGGTGGCTTAGCGATACAGTTTGTTGATCCCTAATCTTACACTCGAGAAATATGACAGGAAAATCGCTGTTTCCTCAAAACCGACGAGGGAACAGGATATTAAACAATTTAAGCAATTAAAGTGTTATCCTGAATTATCGCTTTATAGAAATATTACTTTTAAATAAAACACTTTATCTGTTTAAAAGGCGATATATTAGTTAAACTTATTTGAAATGAATTTTTAACTTCGGCCCGACGTTTCGGATGCTTTGCAGCAGCCGTGGTCACGGGGCGACTAAAGATGGAGGATGTCTCTGGCGTCAAAGTAAAAAATTGCTACGCTACCGCCATCTGTTCCGTCGAAGTTGGTATTTGGCGAAACTGGCCGGGTTCTTACAGAATTGACTAACGGTGTCTTCGCGTTTGCGAAACTTAAAAATCATTTTCAAATAAATTTAACTAATATATCCCGTTTTTAAACCGTTTTAGTGTTTTATTTAAATGTGTACTACCCGGGTAAACTATAGACAGTATAGAAATATTACTTATTTATTCCCTGCTGTTTACCGGTAGCCATTTTATTAGGACAGCGAGGTACAGACTAGCAACGGGTTTACTTGTTTAAAAGTAACCTCACCCATATAACTTTTTATCAACCACTCAACCTATGTTGGCTTTGGTTATAGAAAAATTGATGTATGACAAATTAATAATTAATAAGTAAACTACCTACAGGTTTTAATTGTATAAAATATTTAAGTTAGAGAAGAGCGTTCATTGTTAGTGGGTTGTAGGAATATGGGACTTAAATAAAACACTTTTTAACGGTTTATTTACGACCCGACTTTTCGGATACTTTGCAACAGCCATAAGTGGACTGAGGAAACATCAGCTCGTAGTAGTGGTCGTAGTGCTTAAAACTGTAAACAGTGTAAAACCGTAAATACATAGTATTTGTGTAAACCACTTGCTTCGTAGAGACGATGCCTGGAAAGCGGTAGCCACCTTTAGCTAAAAAAAAAGTTTGCGTATGATCGATTGAAAATGGGGACTAATTTTCAATTATAAAGTTTTATTACTATGGAAACGTGAAACTAAATGTTTAGATTTTCCAATAGTAATTGTGTTAAGCATATATGATTTAACCCTCGTCTCGACAAAATTTCCCTCAAATCGTCCGTAATTTTATTGTTCGGGTAACTATAATCCGTGACCTCAGGGGCTGAATCAAGGGGTCAAATGGACCCGGGATTATTTAATTTTCCCACCAACCTGAACCTGACTTGTTAAACGATAAAAAATATTTTCTTATTATAACTTTCAATCTATCTATGTCTATAGCTCTTACCTTTTTCCTCATCAAACATAGACATCCAAAGCGTTCTATGTTGGGTGTCTCCGGTTTCTGGCCTTGTCTAAGGTACTGCTACACATCATCTAGTCAATGTAATTTCGGTTTCTCTGTTTTGCTAGCTGGTAGACAGATAAGCACGGGGTTCTCTTGCAGGTAGGTGAAATATCACAGCCTAAACAAAATGCGCTGTCGACCCATTTTCGAAATCTGTAGTCTGAAACCGAAACGCGATGCAACTTGACAACTCGATATCCCTACGATGAATTTAATATACTGTTTTAAAAGACAAAGTCCAACATTCATCATTTGAAGTTTATTAGAAAAACATTTTGGACCTGGCCTCGGTCGAAACTACGATAGATTAATAGCGATAAATTCATTGCTCCCGTTTGACCTAAAAAAACTGTAAAAATTTTGCCAAAATTTGTTATTTTTGTCTAATCATTCAATTTAGCTGAAACCTGAAGAGATACAAAATCGAAATATGGAATTTTGTGTGTGAAACCCCATTTCCCCTTATGAGACATGGGGCGACATTTCTGTGTCCGTGACACTGATATATTTTACAGGCAAGTTGAACTGACTTCTGTGCCCTGTCCGAGTCCGAGAATTTACTAGTTTTGCTGGGATTCGAATCTAGGACAGGACGTCGCGCTTAACGCAATGCTAGGCAACACATTTAACCATTTAGCTACAAAGGCGGTGGAATTTTAGAAATACAGTGTAAACTCTATATAGCGACACTGAAGGGACTGTGCATTTTATGGCGTTATAGAGAGTTGTCGTTAAATGGAGAGAAGAAACATTGTATGAAAAACAAGCTAAACCAACCAAAGCCAATTGATTTCGACGCTTCAGAGAGTTTGTCGTTAAATAGAGTGACGTTACATGGAGTTTACACTGTATGTAATTGTTATCTCTGCTTCTCAATGAGAAACCATGTATCTAGTGCATATCTATAAAGCACTTATCTATACTAATATTATAAATGCGAAAGTAACTCTGTCTGTCTGTCCCAAAAAAGGTTAATGGGGGTTGAAAGTTTGAATGGAAATTCGTGGTTTTTGAAGCTAAAACAATGAGACTTTCTTCTTTGGCTTTTTGGTAATAGGAGTGGGAGAGGACGTGGGAGTGAGTGTAGGAATGAGAGTGGGATTAGTGTAGGAGTGTTGTGAGGTGAGAATGTTGCGACAAAGTAGCACTTACAACATAGATTGGCTGCCTTAAATGTACCCACATTACATAAATTAATAAACAGCCTAAATAATTTAAAAATTCTTCCCCAAGTGCCTATTTCACGCGAACGAAGTCGCGGGCTCAGCTAGTTCTTTATATTTCCCCTGAAGTAATCATTATCTGAAGTTACAATAATTGGGTCTTAGATTATCTTAAACATATTTCGTATGGATAAAACCTATTTTAGAATATAAACAAGAATATTCGCGAGAGAAGGATTATGGCCCTCTTTGCGAAATAAAATCACACGCTCACGATGCGATATTGAGAAAACGGGCTTTGTTATAGGCGGAAGCGATTTTCATACAGCCTACAATTTGAACTGTTTTATGGTAACAAATCTAATTTTTGTTAAGTCCTTTTAGATTCGAGTTTTCTATGTTATTTTTCTGCTTAATTGTTTTTGGGCTGTTCGGCCAACGTGAGCGAGAAGAGGTTCTCGACGTTTCGCCATTACGAGCGGATGGCATCATCAGGAGATGTTACCTCCTCGATTCCTTGAAGAATTGTGCTAATTCTTCACTGAACCACGGCCGTAAAAGCCTTACAATTTTTTTTTATTATATCCTTCATCTTTATAAAACAAACCTACAAAATAATAAATAACAAAATCGATGTCGACTGTAGACACAATACATAAATTAAAACGAATAATTTACAATACACACATTTTATACATCTTCTCTCATGACTTGAACCACAGAATAAGATATCAAGCTGTTTGTACATGGCGCATATGACGGCACAACAATATCAGGATTATGTAGCTAATGTCTTCTGTGATAACCTGCTTTACATACTTGCACGTGTCTTAAACACTTTGTAGAATATTTCGTTCTTTTATTTGTACTATTCAAAATTTTATTTAGCTAGAATTCGTAACTCGTTCTTTAAACACTATATGTGGCATTAATACAAAGCTTTATCGAAGAAGAGTTAGGAAGACCTTATCCTTACTAATATTATAAATGCGAAAGTAACTCTGTCTGTCTGTTACTCTTTCACGCCTATGAAAGTGTGAGGGAGAGAGAGAGAGGTGAGAGTGTCGCGGCAATTACAACATAGATTGGCTGCGATAAATGCGCAATTACATAAATTAATAAACAGTGAAGGGTGAAGGGCCACCAGGCCATCCTGTTCTTCATATACTAATAGATTTTTCGTTTAACACCGACAAAAGTGTATTTTCAAATATGTGAATATATATGTAATATGACACAGTTAGTGTTATATATGTGAATATATAACACTAGCTGTGTCAGCGACTTTGTTGGCGAGAATCGTTAAAGTTTTTCTTTAACTACTCTAAAAATATCTTTGTTAGGCATTCTTTCATACATATTTTTTTGGTATCTTGAACCGTTTTTGCAGCGTACGCCTCCGAAACCCATAATGATGAATAATTTTCCCTTTTTTTAACATTTCTCGCTATATCTTGTTTAGACACAGATCGATGTTTTATAGCCAATAGCCTTCCTCGATAAATGCTCTAACCAATACAGAAATATTTTTTCTATTTGAACTCGTGGTTTCAAACTCTTCAGCTTTATATATTAGTATAGATTACACTTATAATACGAAACTGTTGGTCTAAATATAAATGAATAATATAAACATCTTCTTGTTCCAGATCACGCGTCGTCTCTCGTCGGCGACACTGCTCGTCTCAGGTGTCGCATCGATGGCAAATCTTGTGGAGAAATGCACAGCATCAAGTGGTATAAGGCTGACACCCGGGTCTACGTGTATTCAGCGTCGAAGGACGCAGCCATCAATAGGCCAGAGGGAGACATGATGGATAGGTGAGTTTTAAGACGTTCTGGTCCTTCTTGTCCCGGGAAATTATTATTATTCGCTTATATCAGTTATCTATTAATACAATTAGGCTAACGAAACAAACAAACTTATGTTTTCAATATATAAGTATTTAAGTTTCTACATAAAGTGCAAGGCATTGATAAGGCTTTCGCGGTTATATTGTAAATCTTGAGCTATTCGTCCGTTGTAACTGAGAATTAATTTCAACGGATTGTAAATTCTAGAAATAGTTATCTACCCTCAGTAGTTACTAGAGCTTATACTTAATATTTTACAATAAAAAACATATGTATATTCATGATCTGAACACAGTTCTGATTACGAAATATCTTATTATATATTATTGGTTAACATTAATGTATATTAACTCTTTTGTGGCTAATCTAGGAGAAGTTCTAGGATGTAAGCCATTATTAAATAAATAATTTTAAATCAAATCAATTGAGAATTATCCACGTTTCGTCATTACGACTACAAGACATCATGGTCATGGTAGCTTTATTTATACAAGCAAAGCACAATAAGATATTGTTATTATTAAAAGAGACAGCAAATCTTTATTTGCATATGTTCTGAGTTTGAATCCCAAAAAAACAGGTACCGCACGTGTAGAAATATGAGTATACTACTTATGATTAATATTGTACATTCAAAATTGGTTTCAGCAACACGAGCGGGACTTGAATAAGCATGCATAGTGCTCTCACGCTGTCGTAACACTGTAATAACATCTGAAAAATATAAAAGTTTTCAGGCCCTTAATATTGTTTCAATAATACATAACATAAAAATCGAAGAATACATTATCACAATATTATAATTAGTATAAAAGGCAACATCAAAGTGTATAATTAAAAAAGAACGCTGATAAACGGCCTAAAGTATTTATCAAAACGTTAGACTTAATGAAGGTAAGGAGATAATGTTTCTTTTTAATTAATTAAACTTAGCTGGGCTCTCACCACATTCTTTTCAGCTTCTTTATAACCTGCTAATAGGCACGTACGTTTTAATTCCCGCCAAAATACTTATCTAGAATTAAAATCGGATCCGGTCAAGCGCTCGAGATTGCAAAATGGATTCTAGAAGTCTCTGTTTTTAATTTATCTGATATAACTTCTGTTGATTAAGTTTACAACTTTTTACTTCGCCTTAAATCTGTTTGAGATCGCCCTAACCTTTATCTTGATTAAATTTATGCAATTAATTGAAAAATATTAGCTGAGAGTTTGCGAGAAGTTTATATAAGGTTACCCGTAGTAATTCCGCACTTCTTGAGTTTATTCTTTTAATCTATCAAACTATATATCAGCATAACGCATAACTTTGCACTTTTGGTTAAGGAATGAATTTCAGTAACATGTGTAACGTGTAAAGCAGCTTTATGTAAGTATTTATATTGAATTTTTAACTCTTCGTTCACCACATTAGGGGTTAACTTTTGAAAACATTTAAATGTTTTTAACTTACTCTTAAGTTTAAATAAAACACTTTAACGGTTTAAAACGCGATATATTAGTTAAATTTATTTGAAAGTGATTTTTAACTTCGACCCGACGTTTCGGGTGCTTTGCAGCAGCCGTGGTCACGGGGAGCAATCATTTTCAAATAAGTTTAACTAATATATCGCGTTTTAAACCGTTAAAGTGTTTTATTTAAATCTGTTCTACTCGCGTAAACTATAGACAGTATTTTATTTTACATCTAGACAAATTCTAACTGATTTTAGAAAAATTATAACTAGATCAGATTAGAGTTAGACTCGGTGGGGATCAAATCTATAAACCGTTGATTAATAGCCATTCCTTATATTATTATTATTATCTTTGAAAAGATAATGTAGTGCAAACAGAGTAGTATTTTTATTCTGTTTGTCTTTTTGCATCAATGTTTTTTTTTTGTGGTGTATCGATCAAATGTATGGTCACACGATTTCTTTGTTTTATCCTACTTAAGACTCGTGCACTGAAATAAATCCAGCTACCTAGTACTCGTATTTCTAATGTGGCTACCTTGAATAATTGAGACAAATACGCCACCAGAGCTGGCACTTGTAAATGTCATGCAGTCTAGGCTAGAACGATGTTTACATGCAAGCAGGCAATAATAGACTCTAGTACTTGGTAATATGATCCGTAGTTACGCATATAACCCAATCTAAAAGTTATAGAATGTACAATGAGATTGGAATATGGTTTGTATTACGTATCCACAAACAAGACGGATATACGGTGGCGATAATAGTTGAACAATATTAATCTTAACGATACGATACATAATACTATAAGCAAACTTTTTAGTTCTTTCTATCATCATATACGAAAATATTATATAAGTTTGTGTAAGCTCCAAAAACTCAAAAAAATTGCGCCGATTGTGATGAAATTTTAGCATTTTATAAAGTCCGAATGAAGGTTTGTTTTTATCTATATTTTATATTAGCCTCGTGTCTAAGTCCGTGAAAATAGTTATTTAACAATCAGCTGTGTACATGTGACTGCGCCATTACTATTGCGTTTGTCAGCGAGTATTTTCTCGATTCCGGCAGATGGCGCGGTTACTGGTTACTAGGAACTGTATGTTCTGTGTTTCCGAATCGGTAAACAAGATAATTTTCATATCTACGCAGACAGTGGAAAAACAAATATATTGTATATCGACAAGTGTTAGCAATGGTTAAGCTTATATGAAGTTCAGTCTTTCGTTTGTTTCATCTCTCATTTCTCAACCCCTCAATCACAAAGCGTGGCAGATTACAACTAGTAGGATAGTAAAAGAAATATAAATAGTTCTTTCTTCTTGCTTACTTCATAAAGTTATAAAAAAAAACTATATGTTTCGCCTCTTTTGATATATAAGACACAAGAAATCTTCAAAATGGTTACTAATAAATTCCTTTATCAAAATTTCCCCAAATACCAAGGTGAAATTTCCTCTTTATTGATCAACTGTTACAGCTGTAATATACACTCATATATACTTAATAACTACAAGTGTATAACGCGATAGCCATAGCAACTCTCAATAGAAGATACGTAATAGAGGACTGTCGGATTGAATCGAGCTCGTATAGGTAATAATCCAATCGGATTTATTAACAAGTGGTAATGGCATTGCGACTGTTTCCATTATCAGTTAGTACCTGAGATTTTGTTTAAATTATATATGATTTTCATGCTATGAGAACTAAAAACGAAAACTTATTATTATTAATACTTTAAAGTAAAAATTGAAAAATCAGTGATATGGGTTCGAGTCCAACCGGCAGCTTCTGTCTACCTATGTGATTACCATGCGCTAGCGCATCTCCTACGACTTAAGAGGTACCAGTCTTATTCTTTGGACGTTTAGACTGATAATTGTATGGTATCCAAATAAAACTTTTGTCTATCTGTCACTAGTTTAAAAGAAAACATACTAATTTCATATATTTTTTTTGTCTTAAGATCTTAATACAATTAAAAAGGAAGACATTTATATCATGCATACATTTTTAATGCAACGATATTTTATCTGTCGCTGTATTTTTTTAATTTTCTGTATTATTTGTTAGATGTATAGAAAGTATACAATATAAAATACATAATGTACATGTATAGCAATTAAATAAACATCTATTTCATTAGGTTAGAATAATTATTAATATAGAAAAATATTGGTTTATATCGATATAACTTTGGAATTAAAAGTGGGTTAATGGAAACAGGAAAAACATTTCGATATACCCCCGCATGTGCTTTAAGTACATCTCGTACGATTAAAAATTCAAACCCAACAAACCGTGATAGGCCATACTATAATGTTAACTAATGATTTTTATTTACGATTTTGAAATAAAATCCCATTTTCCCATTTTCTGGGACAAACATTTCTGTACACGTTCGCTATTTCAGACGTCTGTGCTCAAGCCGACCGAAACAATTTTTTTCATGTGTATCCCATTATCCGAAATCGAATTCAGGACTTCACAAGTGTAATGCAAGGTTGAACCACTGAACCATCGAGTTGATACGTACGTATAAGGTGAATTGGCAGTAATTTTATACTCTGGAGTCGTAGATTAAACGTTTAATTCAATTTGTTTGTAGTTGAAGTCTAGCAAAAAGTTTAATAAATTTAGACCAGAAACCATACAACACTTCAATTCCGCAGCGACAATTTCGAAATAGTAAAATTAATTTTGAAATTTCACAAAGTTATTCAAACTAAACCGCTGCATGGTTGGGACGTTAAGTTAATTTTATTAAGGTCAAAAACTTGGTCAGACTTCAGGAATTAAGCCTGTGTCCTAGTTCTCATAATTTGAAGAACACAAGTTATATAAATTTAAATTCAACCTAGACTTTCGTTATGATCTATGTCAAAGGAGGTGGCGTGAAGGTACGCTTTTTAAATTTAGAATAAGAGACACAGTAATAGTTAAGTGTATAACTCTCGCAAATAATTCCCTTCTATTTGCGACTTGTATAACTGTTAAAAATACTCACGAATGTGGATTATTAAATCTCTATATAACGTAGTGACGATATATATGATATCTTACTTTGCTAAAATGTATGTATCTAGTTTTTTTAATTAATTGAGCCTAAACTTATCTTTAAACTCTTTTAGAACAGTGATCAGCAATTCTAGTTAGCAATTAATTTATTAACACCACTCCCGACGTAGATAAAAATACTGGATTCTTAAATCGCCTTCTCATCCGCTTATGACTTGAACCACACGTGAACGTGATCTGAGGGAGCGCACGTAGCACATTATCAGCAAGTTAGTTAATCCTGTTACAACCCGCTCCTACTGGACAAATATTGTGAGGCTACTTAGCTGGATTTGCTCCTAGAATTTATTTACTGGAAAATTAAAATAGAGACAGAAGGAATATTACAATTTATTCCAGTGACTATATTATGACTAAATTTATATATGAAGATTTAGCAGCCAATATTACGAGAATATTGCCTTAAAAAATAAAATTTCAGTTTTA